GGGGGGGGGGGGGGGGGGGCCGGTTTCTCGGCGGGTGTGACGCGCCCATCAGGGGAGGACTCTAGAGGTGTGTCGAGGTGTAGTGTGTATCGGCTCGAAATTACCAACAGGGGTCAGGGGTGGGCCATAACCAGGCGTCATGTCGGCGTTACAGAGGTGTGACTGCATCCCGGTGGAGCCTATGCACCGGTCCGGGCACGGGTATTTTGGACAAAGGTGATGAGGGGTGAATACACTGGGGACTGCGGTGCTACGATGACGATGACCCTCATCAAGATGAAGCTGCCGCTGCAGCTGCCGCTGTGGCTCGCTGCTCATGATAATGATGAGGATGTAATGATGTTGCTGTCGATGTTGATGTTGATGTTGTTGATGGTGGTGGTGGTGGTGATGGTGCTGTGTTGCTGCTGCTGCTGCTGATGATGATGATAAATGATAGCAACAGGCAGAAGATGATCACACGACTAGTCACGGCAGGAAGGACTATAGTCTGTGGCGAATATATCGGTTTTTCATTGGTTTCCTGGCCCCCGTGTTGGAACTCAGCTGGTTGTTCTGCAGTCTTGTGGCCCGGGCTGTAGTGAAGCCACCGTGGCCGCGTTTAAAAACGACTCTTTAACAAGTCGGGCTTGATCCCACTCTGTGCTCTGTTCACCTGGACTTTTCGAAGGTCTTCTGGAGTAAAGCCCTTGTTGAGTTAGATTTTCATAGCATACAGTGGCTCTCTGTCCGAAACTAGACGTTTTCCAGATGTTGGCGGGCTGGACTGCCTACACTAGGCCTCGCTCAAAGAGTCTTCTCGTGTCACACGAAGGACGTGGGCGAGACTGATGATTTTCCCAGCTGGCCTGACAGCTCTTAAATGGGAAAGAGTTTGGCCAGGCTGTACATAGTCAACTTAGTAGACGTTCCCGATTTTGGCAGTACCCCGGCTTAAAGCGTTGTATCGAGAGCTTCGGCTCTTGTGTGGGTCGCCCAGCTGCTGTCAGACTCGTGATGCAGGCACCAGACAGCAAATCAAAAGATGTAGAAAGGCTCTTACAGTATTTGGTGGCACATATCAGCAAGTCGCACGCGCCTGATTGACTCGTAAGTTCTTCGCGCAGTGGCTCATGATGGCCCTCGTAGACTTATGTTCTTAGAGCTCCGTTCTGGAGTTTCTGTTCGAGAGAGGCTGCAGGCCGTGAGTGGTTTCCGAGGCCGGCCGCAGAGCGCTAAATTGAGAGCTGCGCTGGGACTGAGAGGGAAAACCGGACAGAGAGCCCTGTCAAAGCGCTTAAGTTGCCTTCCACTTCTTCAGGCAATGTCCCGGCATTCGAAGCATTCCAATGACCGGATGTTCTTCACGGCGAAAGAACGTGCCGATGCCGGATATTCCAAAACACGAAAGGACTGACTGACTGAGTGTGGCGATACAGAATGGACCGAAGCTTGCACTTGATTCTTTGAGGAAGTCATGGGCACCGACTGTTTCCTGCCATTCGGCTTCTGTGCCCTAACTCTGAAGGCCCCGAAGGACTGACCAGGGCGACCGCGAGGGAGCAGTCCATCAGTCTCCGCGAGTCCGGGGGTTCACCCCACAAGGGTCAGTTATTCCATTCAAGTCTTGTTGACGATGATGACTCGGACAATTCCTTTCGTTTTGAGTTGCGGCTTATGCCCAGGAAAGCAGCACCCAAGTGGGCCAAAGTAGAAGTTTGCTGAACAACCTGCTTCCATGAGCACATGCTCAGGGTTGCGCCAGGGTGATGTCTATCTTGGCATGGTCCAGGGTGCCGTCTCGTCGAGTCCGATGCAACATCATGGCGCAGGCGTTGTCAGAAGCGGCTTCAGCCCGCGACGGAACATCGCACTACTGTACCGCCGTGCAAGTCCAGGTTTGCGTCAACACTCGAACACAGTCCAAGTCATGTGCATAATGCGTATACGCTTTCTCGAGCAGCAAGCGATCACATTCAGAAGCCTGTGACCGCAATGGCGGGGCCGGGAAGTCTGAAGCCTGAGCCTGGCCAGGACCCGGTTGCTACGTGCGATGCTTGCTGTTTCACATCATCGCGCGATGTTGCGAGTAGCTGAGCTGCCAGTCGGCTGAGGCCTGATGGCCACATCTTTGATCGGGAAGCCATCTTGGAATATTTGCTGCAGCAGAAGCTTGACATCCAGGAGCAATCAGAGCCGCGTTGCACTTGATGTGCTTGGGGCAGCCTGTTTGCCAGTGTTGTCGCTCCTAAATTGCTTCATGACAGAAGAGCATCAGTCATGACGCAAGCAGGCAGAGCAGAAGAAGTTTGAGGAGCAGGCAGGTTTGGCTGAGAGGAAACACAGAGGTATTGAATCGTGAAGCGCTCAGGAGAGGCAGCGCGAACAGAGACTCCTGTCTGCAGACAAAGAGGCCCCGCGGCCAGATCTAAACAGGCAGTAGCGATTGAGGAGCTGGCTGCTTCAAAGCTGCATCCTTTAGATTTAGAAACCGGAAAGTTCTTCTCCAGTAGTCAGGCAAACATGATGTTTGCCATCTCGTTGGCATGGTTTGGGATCTCGTGCTATGATTGCCGTGTTTGGTATACATCGATCGTGTAGCAGTTTCCGACACGGCTGATCTGCCGTTGCATGGTGATATTCTATCGCCAGCGGTCGAACTTGTGGATCGATCTATTCTGAGGTCGCATTCCCGAAAGGGGTCTAGGGCCTGGGTTTGTGTCGGATACAGATCGGATCCAGTCGATGATTTAAGACTGCTCAGCTGCTCAGCCATGTCCCATCGCAGCAAATTGGTGTGAGACTGCTCGGTTTCTGTGAGTCAACGTTCGATCGGTCAGACAGTCAGGCAACAGAAAGTCACTGTCGGGCAGTCGGACTTCGGACGGTCCGTCAGACACGCTATGCAGCAAGGCTTTCCAACTGAGTGGCTGCTTTTCAGTTTGCGCCCAACGCGCTCCAGCGTCCTTTCGATACTCTCTGTGTTATACAACTAGGGTAGCGGACGTGGCCCGCCTTCAAATTCAAAAGTGCGGCAGGGTTACTCGTTGTTAGCCTGCAGCCAGAAGTAGCGGGTCCGAAGTGCACGCGTGCACTCCGGCTTTCGGATCTGTTGGAGGTGCAATTGAAAGAGCTGGAGGCCTTCACAAACGCTGAGCAGGGCTTGCTCTCGCAGGAGTCTGGTATGCTTCCGAAGAAGCCTGATGGTGCTGTGTTCCTCAAGTCTGACAGGACCACAGACACAAACGGGCCTTAGAACAGGCTGATGCCGTCCGAGAAGGTGTGCTTGTGCCCTAGCTCCTTGACTCTTGGGTCTTCTTCAACACAGATATTTGGCGAGAGCTGTGTAAGGCCCGAAAAGAAGCTGAGAAGGGGCGAGCTGTTGGTGGTTGATAAGAGTCAGCTGACACTTGGTGCAGTCCATGCCATGGTCCATACATTGCGTCGATGCGCCACGTCCCGCGCTAAGGAGAGCCAAGAGCTTCTGGACCAAGGAACCAAACTTGTGAAAGGCATAGGCCGCATAGGCTTCGTCATTGCCCGCGAACTGTTTTTCGTCTTGCCCGCTTTGTGGCGTGGAGGAGTTCACGCCTACAGCTGCGCCAACAGAAGTCAAGAAAGTCCGAGCCCCGGCAGTTGCCTTTGGCTTGAATCGCGCTGTGTGCTTCGTAGGTCGACGCGACGACTAGATGTCCGATGACTGGCAAGAAGCTGAAGGTGAAGGCACAAACCGCCACTACTTGTACCTTCCTGCTAAGTAATCAGGATATGCCAGGATCCAGTGCTTACACAATTTCTTTTGATACTAAGATGGCACCACCATACCGATATACCGCAGGATCTCATTCCTGTGAAAATGGACATCGCGGATCAAAAACTGATGGACCAGGGCGGAGGCGCTCAACTTCTGGTGACATCTTTCTCCGGTGCAAGCAAACCACGTAGTTCCGTGGCCAGGCAAAGGCGTGTACTGCTGTGCGGTATCCAAGAACGCCATCATCCATCAGCAGGTCGGTCGGCAGCAGTGGACTTGCTCGGACACAGTGCTGCAGACATCTGAGGCACTTCTTCTGAAGCCCAGCGGAGCAGCAGCCTTACTCGTGTTTGATCTAGGCTGCGGGCTGGTTGCTGCATCTTGTTAGTGCTACAGGGCAGCCGGGGCAGGCTAGGTGCTTAGGCCATGCTCTGTCCAGCTTCGGTCGAGGTTCCATACGGGGTGTGAAGCATTCCAATTGCGTTTTGCGCAAAGACACGACACTGATGATGAAGTGGCTGATTTCGTGCATCAAGGGGTAACATGCGGAAGCTGAGCTGGATGTCGAATTTGGGTTGGCAAATTTTCCAACGTTATCCTGCCAACATTCAATTCGTGGCGCATTGTCATGAGGTGGTCATTCTGGAAAGCGTCTGGAAGGACATAGTTAGCAAAGAAATGAAGTGCCCAGCCACTCGGAAGCACGAGATGAGCTTAGACGCGACATGCGTGTGCCACTCCCCTCTTCTCCCCTCCGCTCAGTTGCCCTCCGTCTACCCTCACCTTACGAAAACCCCAGTTTACTGCACAGCCAGAGTGCAAGCCTTTCCAGAAACTCTACTTTGCAATGTCATGCTCCTCCTCCTCCTCATCATCATCGTCATCATCGTCATCATCGTCCTCGTCCTCGTCCTCGTCGCCAGTATCGTCATCATCATCACTGTCATCGTCAGCGTCGTAGGATCTGGATTTGCGATTGGGTTTTGCGGTTTAGGATTTTTGAGTGGCTCAAGATTTACTTTTTTTGAGGTCGGTGGTCCAGGATTGATTTGGGGTTTTAGGATATGTGATGGGATTAGGGTGTGTTCTAGTGTTTTGGTTGAGGATTTCTGGATTAGGGGGATTCAGGATGTAGGAATTTAGCAGCTTTCAACGTGCATACAGCAGATATACGACAGATATCAAAGGGCAACCTGTTGAGATGTTCTCTCGCTCTCCCTGTGACACTCACTCACATTCTTCATACATGCGCGCATTCTGCATCGTTTATTGGACAACTTCGCGAGCGAGGTCACCGGAAAGAAGTTGCGAGGTGAGGAGGCGGCAGTCAAATAAATCTTGTACGCACGCGATACTGTTTTTGGAGTGCAGCCTTGCACACGCAGGATCTCTTAAAGCTGGAGCGTGGAGGTTCTGGCTTCAGCGCCCACAACGATGTCGAAGCAAAGGCTCTTGGAATTTTAGCAAACGGCCAGCGCAATGTCTCAATCAACTCGTGCCTGCCAGTCCTTCACCATGATCCGGAGTGCGACTGGCGACAACCGAACGCAAGCAGGGCATTTGCCCAGAGCGGGCTATGCGGGACTTCACTGACATACCGAGACATTTTGCAAGTGTTTATGCCAGCACATTCAGCAAGACCTGTATGTTTTTGCGTGGAGATGTCCTTAAGCTCACTGGCTTCACCATCGCAGAGCTAATGTGCCACACGCTGCACATCCTGAGTGCAAGCTGTGTCGACAGTCGACCCGTGACGGAGGGACGATATCGAAAGACTGCAAGCTTCTGAACGCGATGATGGCAGATTCGCATGTGACACATTTCGAGCGTGTGCTCTCGTCAGTTCGACAGCTGGGCTCACCGTCGCAACTCCTGCAAGAACTTTCCACTTAGATTTTTTCAAGACTCAAACTGGAGCCTGCATTCTGGCAGTAGAACCAGGAAAAATGGCGAGCTGCTCCCTAGAGAGCAGATGTCAAGAAACTTCAAGAAGAGCTTGAGACACTGTTAGGAGTTAGGACAAGCACGTATGCGTGCCGCATAGGTGCACCAGGCTCGTATGTCGCAAGCTGACAGTGGGCGCAGCTATTCCTCGCAGCATCGATACCGTGCTGCCGAGAAGCTTCGGAGCTCCAGTGTGACGAGGACCGTTTTTTCGCACCGCATCGTAGCGAACAGCCCGACTGCAGCCCCAGCGCATCGCAGATAGTCTCTGAGTCGCAGGAGTCGTGTCGACAGAGGCCGGTCTGTGCTCGCGCATGCTAGCGAAAGGCTGCGGCGCAAAAGAGACCACTGCCAGCCAGACGGGCATGCATGGGCATGCCATGGCAGGCTCTGCATCCACACCCAGAAGAGCTCGCGCGGAGTCTCGTGGATCTGACCTCTTCAACGCGTCTGTTGGAGGGAATTCGCAACAAGATCACTTCTTGCGCGCTGCTAAGAATAGCGACTCGGCTCGACACTTTGCGGGTTTGTGACAGGTCTTTGAGGTTGTTTTTGCGGAAGACTCATGAAGCTTCGGCACTCAGGCGTATCGATGCTTTGTCACTCTCTCAGTGGGAACTTTTGCGAAAGACCGCCGAAGATGCCACAGACCGACAGAACCACTACAACAGCTACAACAGCGGCTTGGAAACAGTGCAACCTTCGAAACCGCTGTGACAGCCGCTGCGATGTGTGGGGAGCGGCTTGCTCGCCGCGGCGGCTGGAGGCGGTGCGACAGGAACTCGCTGCAGTTCGGGCAGACGTGCGACGCGTACGAGGATTCCTGGATGCCACGACGATAGCGACGTCCCAACTTGCCAGGCAATCCGTGGAGAGCCGTCAGTATCTCCGTAAATTGATGGAGGAGGAGCGCATCGAAGGGGCCGAGTGTGGCTCTGCTCGCAAACGGCTGGATGAGGATGAGAGAGAGCGCCTTGAGAGCCTTGCTGAAGAGGTACGCAGCAAGTCATGCAAGTCACAGGCTGCGAGGTTAGGATAATCTGTAGCATCTGTCCCTGCGAGAGGTCAGTGAGCTTGGTTCACAGGTCAGCGACCTTGCGCAGCAGCAGCTCGACTGTTACAAGGACGTTCAGTACCTGCGAGGATTCACAGCCGTTGTCCGACTGCGGCAGCGTGCGAATGCTGCGACTCTGCAAAGCCGGAACTTCGGCCAGCAGTGTGATTCCAAGGCGAAGGAGCTTGACAAGACGAAAGAACAAATGGCTGCCCTGCGACTAAAGGCACATTCTCTGAGAGAAGAAGCAGCGAAAGCAAAGGTAGAGGCTGCAGACGTCGGCGAAGACTCTGCCCTACAATTCCTCGAGGCTCTTCGCGTGGAACTGGGAGCGGAGGAGTGACTGCTCGTGGACTGCATGCACATTGCTGCCGCCATGTCCGCCACGTTAGCTTTGGATTATCAATCTCTTGAAGCAAGTGACCGGAATCACGACAATCCCGAAAGGGCGTTCAACACGTTTTGCTAGTTCCACAGATCCCTAAGCCCTGAATAGAATATGGGCTGCTCGCAACAGGAGACACTCAGGCGGCAAACGTCCGAAAGCTTTGATTGTGACGCTGCATGACTCTCTGCCGCCATGGCAAGTGCTGGAGTGTTCACTGTCACGCCGTTGGCGGCACGTGTCGCGCGGTGCGCCCACCAGCAAGACTGAACGGTTTGTAAGCTGGTGCTAGACGATGCTAGGCCAGGCAGTCTGCCAAGCGCATTACCAGGCCGGAGCAGACTTGGACAGTGGAAAGGGCGCTTCAAGTCTCATGGCCTCGCAGGCCGATATGACCTTCGGACTGAGAGATCCGAAGCGAGACTTTGCCAAGCCTCGCGGGGTTTGCCTCTGGTGGTGCTAGGAGCGGTGCCTCGGAGCAAACAACTCCTTGGAGGGCAAAGCAGAGCGATGCAAAGAAGCGTTTCTGGCCCAAGGCTCTTCTGGTGCGGCGAGCGCCGAGGAGAGCCGACTCGCGAGACTCCCGCTCCCAAGCTCTGGCAAGCTCTGACAAGTCCCGCAAAAACTAGGTCTGCCAGTGACCGGCTTTTGTACGACAGCTTGAGGCGAGAAGTCGGCTGCCCAGGCACCGAGCATCCTGCGCAGATGTTGCGGCTAGATCCCTAAGGTGGGCAGAATGAAGAGCAGGCGGCGCAAGAAGGTCTCCGCTTATCAAGCTGTCGAGCCGCTGATGTAGGATCATCAATGATCATCATGTCCGAATCCTTGTCACACAGGACGAAGTGAGTCAAGTTCGGTGGATCCGACCTGCCCTGCAAGGCGCTATTGCATGTCAGTTTCGCCGAATTTGCTGACATCATGTAGCTGTGCTGCTCATCGGTCCTACTAGTAGTGGATTGCTGGAGGTGGGCCGAGGCGGCGCAGCTTGGCCAGCTTTTCTGGTGCACCTGTATCTGGCTTGCACAAATCGCAGAAAGCATCCTGTCTCTTCTGTGCTCTGTCCGCGATCGCCGAGGTAGCTGCAAGGTTTTTGGGTGCCGTTTGCTTTTTGGGACCCCTCGTTGCTTGCCTGTTCTTGGCTTTGAGCGTGTTGGCGCTGAAAGACGATGTGCCATGTGACACCTACCGTATGGCCGGTCACCACACGGAAGGTTCTTGCGATCCCCTACGGTGCGCAGTTTTTCGCCAGCTCGTCGACGCTGCGTGAGCTCGTCTTGAAGCCGCTCCTGCCCCTGGTTCTAGCAGCGTTCTCAGCTTTCTGTACCTCCGCCGGGAAATCCTCTCTCTTTCCGCCTTCAGCCTTCAGCGCAAGGCATACCATTCCTCCAGATTCGCGAACCTACTTTGCATAGCAGCCCTTTATGGCCTCATTGTGCCGTGGCTGCATCCGAGACAGTACCAAGCAGTTCCATGATCTGGTTCTCGCGGATCGACATCACATTTGTGTCGCCGACGAACCAGATATTGAGCAGTGACAAAGTCTCGAGATATAGGGCATGCTGTGACAGCTTCCGTCAACCAAGGCGCGGAATAAGTGGACGCCCGAGCTTGAGCCACGTTGTGTCAGCTGTCACCTTCAGCTTGTGCAAGGTCCTTGCATCCACTCACGTGTTCCTTGGGCATGCCTGCTCAGGCATACACACAATCGCTTTGTCAATCTGTTGCTCCGCACAGAACCTTAGGTCGTCAGGCATCAACCTTGATGATGATGCAGTCTTGCCGGCCAGATTGTTGTGACGGATCTGGGGCTGCATGACTGCGTGTGTAGGAATGTCGACAGTGCCGTCGCAGCAAATGGTAACCTGTGGCAGAGTGGAAAGCGACCTGACGGTCGCTCGCAGTAATCACCCCATAGAGATAGTGGCATTTATGTGTGAATATGGTACTAGTGATGGTAGTGAAAGTGCAGGTGACAGAAACAGTGGCACTCGTGATAGTGATAGCAGTGAGATTGTGATAGTAATAGTAAATTTAGTGATAGTGATAGTGCCCGTTATGATAACAGAAATAGTAGCGCGCAGTGTTAGGGATTATTAAAAGACAGAAGCAAAATCAGTAGTACACAGCACACGAAATAGTAAAGAGCAAACAGTTAAGTAGCAAGCAGTAGTTAGTAGTAGTAGTAGTGAATGGTTGTAAGTAGTATATAGGTCGAAGATAGATCAACTTTCAGTCCTAGTTTGAGGCTGACTGCTTGAGAGGCTTGACGACGAATCACTGGAATAATCAAACGATGAACTCAGGGAAACATTCAGGTTTCGGGAAACTCAATTGAGGAAATCGCTTTCAGAAGTCTTAGTTGTGACATTTAAAGAATGGGAAATTCGCAAGCGTTCGCATAAGTCGCATTCAGAATAAATCGTCCAATGCTGGTAAGATCAATCGGGAAAGTCAGCACCAGAAGAACCTCTTGGAGACACGGTGCCCTTGTGATTCACACTTGACACAATAATATGTCGGCAGGCCTCAAGTCGTGTTGGAGGTCCAGGTATATCACTCCAAGTCAGGCTGAATCAGTAAGTGTCAGGAAATGTCAGGAATCTGCCTCATGCCTCGCACATGCCGAAGATACATACAACGAGTGTGCATCCACTTGCATCACAGACACTCAAGCGCTCACTCTAAGCGACGGATCGGAGCAGCATCCAAAGCGACGATCAGTACACAGCGAAGACCAGGTAAATGATGTCACAAGCAAATACGATTAAGCAGGTCAGGTACGCCTGAGCCAGGCGTCCCCAGCTCATATCAGTGATCTGCAACAGCCTCCTCGTTGGACTGCCACTGTTACAGATCAGGCAGTCCCCTGCTGAAAACATCGAGCTACACTTCTGCAAATCTTGCAGAGAACCCTTGGGAACAGGGTGGGACACACACACACACGACAAGGTCACAGCTTGATTGTGAAATCGAGCCGCTTTGCATCGTCTTCTCGCAACGTGATTTCCTTCGTGTGGCCAGTTCCAGGTTCCCGGCCAATTTCCTACTCCAGTTCCTCGGCGCCACGCCGTTGGCTTGGTTCTGCCCAGCTAGAAACAAACGAGTTAGTTCAGGCGGTTGGAATGTTGATACGAGGCCAGGACCGTTGGCCAATCTTACGCGGGCTATCATCTTTCTGTGACCCTCTATCATCACGATTCTCAGGCCGTTAGGCTAGATGCGACCCTTTCACACTGCCCAGGTACTTTGTCTATTCAGTGTCCCTCGGGGTGTTGGGGTCTTTGCGAGGCTTGGCCTGCTTGCATTTGCTTGGGGTTTGACGTGAGAAATGCGACTTCGTGGAGCCATGTGACTGCGATGCGACGGTGTACATGCCTCAGGACGAGCTTTCGAGCTGCCCTTTGTGGGGACTGGCGCAGGGGCTTTCAGTCTTCGATCACCACGACCGTCATCGCAGCTGGCTCAGTGACATGTAGACCAACAGCTGCCGAGTGTAGAGCTGGTAGATTATTTGATAAGATATTTTTTTTGAGAGCTCCTGGCCACAGCTTGTGAGCAGCATCGAACAAGTCACGTTTGCTTCTGGTACGAACCTTGCGAGGAGGAGAGGGGGACAGGGAGTGGAAGGAGAGAGAGAAGGGTCACAATTAGGCATCAAGTTGGCCGCATCCTCGGCATGTGTCTTCGGATCAGTTTTTTATATCCAAAGTGTAGCCAGTGTCAAGCTGAGGACGTGACATTTTGAAAGCAAAGTAGGCATGAGGGGAAACCGGGGAGTTTGCAGTACTTTAAAACGTAGTATTTCTGAGATCATGCCGTGCTATGTGCCGGCGGATCAGCAGTGGGAACGTGTCGCTTTTGTATTTCACTTTACGCTGTTTTGGGAGAAGTGGTTGACGGGGGGACCGCCGGGGCTTGCTGGACAAAGGCTCGACAAAGGGGGCTCAGCAGAGCAGAGGAGAGAGCAGAGTGCGATGGCCCAAAGTGTTTTCACGACCCAGGTTCCGGTCCAGCTGATCCAAATGCTAGGCTCCAAGCCTGGGCCACAGCCAGGACGCCACATACGCCGAGGCAGTTTAAGTGCTGCCCAGGTGCAGTCACTCGGAGCATTTTGATACTCGGCCGGAAGCTAAGCCTTGCATTAATGGCTTTGGATGCTTTTCTCAGACGTCTATACATGCAGGGCACCCGTGGGCGAATCCACGAATGAGGGATGTCATATGACTCTGCTGCGGCCGGAGCACTTTGGTCTGCCGAAGCTAGAAGCTTGAAGACGTTCTGAAAGTGGCGTCGTAGAAGGTGTTTCAATCTATGGGAAGGAGTCCGGGCAGCATGCACTTCTGTACAGCATGGTGCGATAGCAACATTTGGTGGGCTCTGGTAGCTCTAGAGTGCTAAACTAGTTGGCAAAAAGCTGGCAGTTGCTTGCACTATGTGAAGTGCAGCCCATTTTCCTACAGGTACAGAGAGAGCTGCATCCTGCGCAGGAAATGGTAAGGGTAAGATGTGATCCTCATGCATGATGCACTTTGTTAAGAGTCTCGGGACTCCGCTGCACGGGAGGAGCAAAGAACCAAGATGCAAACGATGTTGGCCACAGCGCAGGAGGCTACACAGGCTCAGCATGGCCTGGCTGTGTTTTGCAAGGATGCTGTTGATTCTTGGCTTCCTGAGGCTGGCTTGAAGCAGAAAGTGAATCAACTCATGTCTGCCTTGCAAGAGTCGGAGGCCTTAGTAGCGTCCAAGGTGGAGCTGTTACCCATGGAACAACGTCTCTCGCAGGCATCAACTGCGGAAGCTGCTGCTCAAGTCCAGGAATCCGCCGTTTGTCGTAGCGCAGTATCGGCTGCTTTGTACTGCCGACTTCTGCTATGGGGTGCACGTATGTGTGCATCCACCAATGCCCACGAACGAGCATTTCTGAGAGAAAGCATGTGCTGTTGCAGATACCGAAACCAACAATAATCATCGACAGTTCCGTGTGTCAGTTGTGCATCCTGGTCCAGTTGGAACTGTTCGGGTCTCGTCCAGGATTCGGAAGGCCGGGAGGAAGCGTACGTGTCCAGACTTGAACGAGCTGAAGCCTTACAAAGACCCCAGCCTCATGCTTTTCGTAGTTGACTTCTTTCGGACACTCAGGAAAGGAGCCGCAATTCCACGTTGGCCCAGGAGGTGGAGATTGTGAGTACCCGTATGCCTTCAGACTGCCCCGGCCTTTGTGTTTGAGGCTCGGCACCTGGTCGCCACTCACAAGTCGCTGGAGGCAAAGCCAAATGTCACGGTCGTCACGGTCGTCTCCGTCGGGGCCTGTGTGGTTCAGGCTGAGCTTGAGCAGCAGTATGACACGACCCGCGCGTGGCAACTCTGTTCTGCAGAGATGCGAGCAGAAGGCAATAGAAGGCCCAAGAAGCGCCGTTGTTAGACTTGCAAGACTCTTCGCCTGGAGCCCTCCGCTTGCATCTGCTTGCAGGCAGCGGCTCCAGGCAACCTGAGCGCGCGGGCGTCGCTTGCATCCGCCAAGCTGCGTCTGCGCAGACCCAGCCCATGGTGAATGAGTCACCTCACATAGCTTCCAGTCTGAATTGTGGTTGATTCAGATTCACTGTACATAGACTGTCTCTGGCAATGATTGGCCCGAGGCACGTCCAACGGCAAGCTCTAAGTCTGAGTTTGTCACACTGCCTCAATATGAGGTTCGGCAGACTTGACCTCGGTTCCTACCACGGCAACAGACAGAGGCAGAGAGAGAGAGAGAGAGCTCTCGGGGTCAACCCCTGCACCCTAGCCCTGGCGAAAGAAAGAGAGAGAGAGAGAGAGAGAGAGAGCGCCCAAGCCACTCCAGCAGAACACAGCCCAAACACACACTGCAGCGGGGGACTCAGACCCTAGAAGACGACGACACAGCCCAGGAGGGGGAACGCTAACGCAAGACGAAGAAGAGGATGAGAAACCACTGCTGTGGGACGGAGCCTTCCACACCATGCTGCTATCCAGCGGGGGAGCAGAGCGCCCCCTCACCTTCCCGCCGGAGATACCCACTACATGGGGTGTGGACGTCCACTTGCGCAGCTTGCCATATGGGGTCTGGGCAGGAGTGACCATGTTCACGGAGTCCCGCAGAGCCCCAGAATACCGAGATGCAGGTCGTGGACATTACAGAGCCCGCCTCAACAGAAGCCAAGGTGGGGCGAACCCCACAGGCTTCATGGGGGTAGGCACCGCCTTTGTGCTCTTCCCGCCGTGGGGGGCCATTCGCGAAGGCGTCCCTAAGAAGTGGCTCCTCCACATCACAGCTGTGCAGGCGCAGCCAGATGAAGACGCGGCACACATGCCCGCGGGAGCGAGCTTCACCTTAGAGCAGAGGCCCAGTGGACAATGGGAACTGGGATCCCTTCAGCCCAAGCTTGCCCTACAATACTACTACGACTGGGGGAACATGAGAGATACAGGTGCTATAGTGGGGACTTTGCCGCGGACCGCCACGATGCCACCAACACAGTGGGAACTCATGGCACACTACCTGGCGACAGCGAGCATGAGACTACAAGATCTCTCCGACGAAGACACCCTGGAGAACGGCATCAACCAACATGAGCTATATGAGGGGCTCAAGACCGCGCTCCAAGACCTCCGCATGGGGGAGGTCCTTTTCCACAGAGCCGCGCAGGGGCAATGGGGACACCAAGTCCAGCAGGGCTTGGAAGGAGTGCTGCAAGCCCAGAGAGCAGTGCAACGCACCATGGGGGACACCGTCCAGGGCGAACTCGACTGGCATGTGGGAGGCTGGGGGGATGCAGTGGCGTTTCTCCTCGAAGATGCGGAAGAGTTGAAGAAGAAGGTCAACTTGACCTCGTGCATCCGGCCGATGTTGCGGCACTTGACGAGGGAGCGGAAGAACAACCACCGCCACGCCAAGGAACTCCGGGGGAACGCCTGGAAGCTCTGGTCCGCGACATCAGAGCTGTCATGAACTTCGTGACGGAAGGGGAAGAGCAAGTCACGCAGCTACTTGCGGCCCTCCTGGCAGCTCAACAACGCACAGAGGGGGACAGCATCCATGTGGAGACCCAGACAACCGAAGGAGGAGAGATGGAAGTGGCGGGGGACGACAGAGACGTACCACGCTGCGAGCCGCAGACTAAGTGGGTGCCGCCGTTGGATGCAGTGCAATGGTCTGGCAGCATACCCTCCACCGGGGGGGAAGAGGACAGCCAAGTGGATGCGCCACCGTCACCGACCGACGACGACCTTCTCCGGGCGATGGAGGAGTTCGAGCGACAAAGCAGGGAAGAGGCCGAGGCAGAAGCGAGACAGATGGACGGGGGGAGCCCTTCTGAGAGCCCTGAGAGCCACCGTAGGCGTAGGATGCACGCAGCTATGCAGGAGCGAACTCCCTAAACCTCTCAGTCCGGGGGAATATTTGGACTATTTTTGACTATGTGATAGAAGGGGTCGATGAAGAGGGGGCACGCTGCACGTAGTGGTGCAAAAGTTTTGCTTCTCGGCCAGGCCCTCAGAGTGTGTTTGCAGTAGGTTGTACATTGTGTTTGGAAAGGGGGACTGTTGAGAACGCCACAGTTGGACTGCACAAAGCCGTCGTACCTTTCAGAGTTGCAGGTCTTGATGGGGGGACTCAAGCCAAAGCTTTGTGCAGTCGTGCTGACCAGAGTTGCAGGGGAAGGTCGAAAGAGGTTGTTTAGGGGGTCTGTACCATGTGCATGTTTGTTAGCCGAGCCTTCCTGCGTCCTGTGGCTGTGCCGGAACAACACGTTCGAGGGCATTGCCAAATGGAGTGCCTCGTAATATGGGGGACTCACAGTTGACTTTTTGCAATAGGGCGCGAGTTCGCATGACAGAGCCGGCGATCGCCTTATGGCAGATGAGGCCCGGGGAATCTAGTGTTCTAATGTTCTAATTTAAGGGGGATACCAAAGTTGCGAAGACGGGGGCCTCATCTCAAGTGGACAACACACGCGCGGGAGGGGGCGTTGCTGCGCTTTCTCCTTGACTGTGTGGAAGAAGAGCGCTCTCTCGCTACTTGCACCCCTGCCGCCCCATAACACATGGGGGGCCACAAGGCCAGGGGGTTTGACACGCCCCCCATGCCCAATGAAAGAAAGAAAAGCGAGAGAGAGCAAGAGGCAAGCGTGTCAGAGTTCCTCCAAAGCCGACCCCCTGAGCAGCATGGGTGGGCCATACGGCCCGGGAAACTTGAGACGTTCCCCCTGCCCGGGAGAGAGAGAGAGAGAGAGAGGCTGCTCCCGCCCCATGCCCTAAGCAAAGCAAAGAGGCATGCTCGAGGGAGACGGAGAGAGTGATACATTCAAGAGGAGTCACCCCACCAGAGTTGGAGGACTTGCCCGAAACCTCAGCCAACCGCGGACGAGTGGACGAGGCGGAGGAACCACCCCGACGTGGTGGCGGCCCTAGAAGCACATGAAGCCCAAACTGAGAACCCTGAGCCGCCCAGTAGCAACTCGCCACACTGCCAGTACATCACACCGCGGTATTTCCCATCCGCTCAAGATGGCTCTTGTACAGACGTGGGGCCTGTGGGGCACTTCGCTCCCCCATGGGCTGCCTTCTTGCGTCCCCAAACAGGCGCTTTTCTTGCACCTGCTGGCTTAAGATCATCGTTTTGAGCCTGTGAGACAGGCAAGAAGGTGGCGATGCTCTTGATGGCTCCTCTCGCTACAAGGTGGCCATGTCAGTGTCCAGAGATAGTTTCTTGCAGTTCGCAGGGTCGCTCCTTTGCTGCCAAAAGGGTCCTGGATGGAGGTCGGTGGCCGGTACAAAGTTGCTCGACCACTGGAAGTATGGAGCGGAGAGCCGCTCGAACCCGAAAGCCTGATCTTTTCTGCCAGCACGAAGACGCATCTTCCGCCGACAGCGGTCTCGCTTTGGCTGAAGGGTGTGATGCATCTTGTAGAGAGGCCCCTGTGTTTGGGAAAAGCGAACACTGAGAAACCCTGCATAATCATGTATAGCCCGTCGGCATGTGCTTGGTCCCAACCGACATGAAGAGGAAGTGGGGTTGGGGAGTGGAGCCAGGCAGCAGGGCGTTCTGCAAGACAGACGGATTGCGAGGTCGAACTTGTGCAATCATTCGTGTTTGTATGCAGCAAACAAGTTCGGATTCAAACAACCGCGAATTCAATGAAGTAGTGATGAACAGACTTTGCATGATCCGTTGCATGGGCTGTGCACATCGAGACCCACCTTCTTGTTGTGTTGGGCAGTGTACTTTCACGCATCACGTATCTAAACCACACACACAGTGCATCTGCCACCTCAATTGCTGAACGTACAGTCCATTTGGTATGGATCATGCGCAGTCTTTAAACGGTACAGCAGTACAGCAGCTCGGTTTCCTGCAATGATGGTGGGTCATGCGCATTGCCCAGGAACTTGGACGGTACGCGATTGGAAACCTTGGCTGCCAAGAAGGAGCCAACTTGTATGACTGACCACAGACACGTGCCCAGCTCATGGCAGGACATTGTCCTTCTGATCCAATTCTCCGGGGACCAAGGCAACGAAGTCCGGGGGAGTCGGGGCGAGGCAGGGACCTTGCAAAGAGAGACACTGCAGGAGCCCGCGGCTTGGTCATTCCGCAGCCTGCCGAAAATCACCAAGCGGGATGGATCTCGCTGGAGGCGCACCCAAGGCTTCAACAGGCTCCATCTCCTCTTCGCCGCTTCGCTGCCTGTTAGGATGCACAGCGGGGCAGTCGAGTGCAACCGGCATTGGACGCCACGGTGCTGCCAGGCAAGTGGGTGTTTTGAAGTTTCACAACTTCGATGCAATGACCATGGGTGATCATGCAACTGCGACATTGCCGACAGTGGTGGTATGTGTTTCAGCACCTGAACTCCACTCGACGACGGCAGTCTTCCTAACCAACGACTGCACTGTGTGAGGATATCTCCTTGAGATGCTCGTGCAGTCGTTTTCTTTGCGGAGTGTAGCAAGGGCTGCGTTGGAAGGGGCATCACGTGTGTCTTTCTTCGGTGTCGGTTGTGTCTTGTGTAGTGGTTGTGAGCAACACAGAGGGCCCCCTGGCATGATCTGAAAAGATGAACCCTCGGCTCCTGAAGACAACGTCTCATGCGTGCTGTCTTGAAATACCGACAAGTCGCCAATCTTCAGGATCGTCGGCACACGCTCAGAATTCGGCAAAACACAGAGTTGATAGGGCACAAGCCCAACTCTTCATTGATACAGCCTTCATGAAGGCACGGACACAAACCCTTCACCAACCCGAGACCCTTGAGAATTGTAGCTCAACAACACGATTTCTGTGATGGAACGAAATGAAGTCCCCACCCTTGGCCAACTCCAGCATCCTCTGTGTGTGCAGAGCTTCACTCACAGCCATCACGATGCCGGTGACAGCTTGGCTGTAGCGTTCTGGTTATTTGACTGAACGCCTATCCCGGGTATGTTGTTTTCATTCTTCTGAATGTCACTATTGTTGTTACCAGTGCTTGCT